GAAACCTTAAACACATCAACATCCGGGCCCATTACCAGAATAGTCACTCATTTCCAGGATCACCCCATCACTTACCTCAACATATCCGGCTTACAGTCATGTTCTGGGTGGACCAGTGGGCGGCGAAAAGCAGTGGAACGTGGGTGGATAAGAGATCTTCAAACAATTACACCCACCGGTCTGAATGAGCGTTTTTTAACCAGTTAGATGGGATCAATCGAAAGGGATAGCACTTGTTTACAGGGATCTCAAGGAGGTGAAAGAAGGATGCACTATTCAAACAAAAAATAAAGTTTAAGTGGGTTTGTCTAATATTCAATATTTGCATGCTTATCTTAAATAGTTTTTATTCCTTCCTTTTTTAGGTATTTGATTTTGTTTTGACATTTTAGCACTTTATCTCTTAGCACTTTGTCTTCTAGCGCTTATATATGTGGATATAATTGTGTTTGTATATGTATTATTAAAGCATCTATCCCCTGATCCCTTGTATATTTTAATATCTCAGTCCCTTCATGGTCCTAGATAACCACTCAGACTATCATTTAGAAACAATAATAACCTACTTACTTTTGGTAAGGTTTGTAGGGGGTAATCTAGATAATTTTAACAGTTGAATGGTTTATAGCATTATATTGGAGGGGCACACAACAATAGGCCTGCGCACCACAAGACAAACCAGTCTCTTTTTAACCCTACCCTAATTCAAAACCTAACCCTAACCCTAACCCCTAACCCTAACCCTAACCCTACCCTAACCCTAACCCTAACCCTAACCCTAACCCTTACCCTAACCCTAACCCTAACCCTAAACCCTAACCCTAACCCTAACCCCTAACCCTAACCCTAACCCCTAACCCTAACCCTAAACCCTAACCCTAAACCCTAACCCTAACCCTAACCCTGACCCTAACCTCAGAGACACCGGTGCCTAAAACTTAATTCCTTCCCTTCCCGTTTTTTTGATTTTTTGTAATAATAATATGCCATTTCTTGTCCTGTCCTTGTCTCTCTTGTATTTTTAATTTTTTGTATATGTTTTTCTTAGATTTCATTGAAACATAAAGCATGATATATATAGCCCCTGGGCCCGTGCACACTTAACACCCACGTGGTGTGAAGAATTTGTCCCCTACCTTAACCCTAACCTAACCCTAACCCTAATCAACAAACAATTCATGTGCAGTAGCACACCAATAACATCCACTATTGGATTCTTCCATTCTTCCTCCATCACTAAGGGTAGGCCACCAAACATTTCAAATGTGAGTATGGAATAAAGGACCTGGGTAAGAATTTGTTTTGGACTAGGTGTGCACCCCAAGACAACAACGTATATATATATATTTTTTTATATGTCCACTTGTTTTTCACTAAGGAAAATACAAAATTGTTTTTATACTACCATCGGAACAAAGTGGAAACTACAAAGGAAGAACCACCAAACACTTCCAGTTCCATACCTTTAATGGTGGATGTTTTTGGTTTTGTGTAGTCATTAAATGAAAATGATTACATTCTACATCCACCAGATGGCAGTGAGAGTTCACTCCTTGAGAGTTCACCTATAAAAGTGTGCCGCCCTGGATCCAGAGGTTCCGGCGCCTTCTTCCTTAGTTGCTTCCCATTCGAGATCGGATCCGGAGGTACCTGCGTCTTCGTCCTCTGTTCTGTCTCCCTCTCCGGTGTCTTCTACCTCCGTACTTAAGGAAAAAATTGTGTTTGACCAGACACAATGCTATTTTACAGTAAATAAATTGACAACAGACTTTCAGCACACTTATAGGGAAGGATATTCAACAAGCACAGCACTTACACAAATGACTGATGATTGGCTGAGAGAGATTGTGGGAGCTGTTTTGTTAGACTTCAGTGCGGCTTTTAACATTATAGATCATAGTCTGCTGCTGGAAAAACCTATGTGTTATGGCTTTACACCCCCTGCTATATTGTGGATAAAGAGTT